ACTGTTCACCTAAACCTAACCCTAGTCCTTAACCTATTCCTAACAATAAATGTAACCCTAATCCTAAAACTAACACTAAAACTAACCATAACCCTAAACTTAACCTTTAACATAGCCACATTGTAACATGAAATTGTAACCTTAAACCTAAATCCAAACCTAACCTGAAGCCTAACCCTAACTCAAACCCTAAACATAAACCCCAATCTAACTCTAAACATAACCCAATACCTGCCCCTAACCCGAACCTTAAACCCCAACACTAAACCTGAAGCATAACCCTAACCCTAAGTGTAGCTCTAACCCTAAACCAAATGTAATCCTAACCCTAAAACTAAACATAACCCAACATTAACATTAACCCTAAACCTAACACTAAAAACAATGCATTAATTTCATCTAACTGGTTGACATAGCAACAGCAATGACAAAAATTTGTTGGCATAAAGTTATAACATTCCCTTACTGTCCTCTTTAATATCTGTAGAATCTGTAGTGATCACCTTTCTGATACACTAATTTGTGTTTCCACTGTTTTTTTTCATGATTAGTTTGGCTAGAGGTTTCTTAATTTTATTGATCGTCTCAAAGAACCACCTTTTAGTTTCATTGATTTTTCTCTCTTGTTTTTCTGTTTTCTGTTTCACTGATTTCTGGTCTGATCTTTATGGTCTGATCTTTATTATTCCCATTCTTCTGCTTAACTAGGTTTTACTTACTCTTCATTTTCTCATTTTTTAAGGTAGAAATTGAAAATTGAGGTCATTGATATGAGACCATTTTTCTTTTCCTACATGGGCGTTTTGTGCCATAAATTTCCCTTTAAGTACAGCTCCTGAGTTCTGTACCCACCGCTCTGTGGATTATGAGGTTTTCTACTCTAGCTAGTGGGGAAAGACATTATTCCAAGCCCTGTGTGATTTCCAGGGATTGCTCCCAGTTATCCGTTCAGATAGTTCTTTCCTTGGCCTCCAGTCACATTTACTGATCAGAATCTTATACTCAGCTGAATTCTGCAGGAGGACTCTACAGTTCTCCAGAGTTCTCTCTCTTTGCAGCTCTCACCAGTCCAGTACCCTGCCCTGTGAACTCTTAGTCATGTTACCCTCTCCAGACTCCCAGCTCTTTCTCCCCTCAACTCAGGGAAGTCATCAGGCTCTGTCTGAGTTCCCCCTCGTTGTGCCACAGCCAAGAAACTCCAGTCTGTGAGCTGAGGCAATGACAGGGCTCACATTTTTTGTTTCTCATTTCTTAGGGGTTACTCTCCTTTGTTGCTTAATGGCCAATGTCTTGAGAATTGTTGTATGATACATTTGGGTTTTTTAGTTGTTTCAGGTAGGAGAGCAAATCCAGTTCCTGTTACCCTACTTTGGCCAGTGCCAGATTAAAACTTTATTATTGTTGTTGTGTGCCATCGAGTCCATTCCAACTCATAGCGACCCTATAGGACAGAGTAGAACTGCCCCATAGGGTTTCCAAGGCTGTAATCTTTATGGAAGTAGACTGCCACATCTTTCTCCCTGGGAGCGACTGGTGGGTTCGAACTGCCAAGTTAGCAGCTGAGCACTTAACCACTGTGCCACGAGGGCTCCTTAAAACTATATCAACACCCTCAAAAAACCCAACTTTTAACTGAGTAACCAAACTCATTGGCACTGAGTCAATTCCAACTCATAGCGACCCTATAGGACAGAGTAGAACTGCCCCATAGGATCTCCTAAGCTGTAATCTTCACTAAAGCAAATTGCCACATCTTTCTCCTTCAGAGTGACTGGTGAGCTCAAACCATTGACTGCCGACCTTTCAGTTAGCAGCCAAGCACTTACCCCCTGTGCCACCAGGGCTCTTTTTTAATTGAGTATAGAGATTTTATTCTCAGAGAAGAACTCCCTATACCCAGGCCTACATTGAAACCTTTGTTAATATTAAGTTAATTTAAGTTAATAATATTTCTGGTAGGCAAAGACAGATGATAGAAAATCGACAAACTTTTATACTAGAAGTATAAGATGGAACTAAGTTGTATGTGGCCACAGAAGTCTCTAGGTTTGTACTAGCTGGTGAAATCTTGAGTAATGTAGCATCATAGAAGTTCCTAAACCAGTTTCGTATTTATGTGCTTCCCCTCCTCCCAAAAAACACCCCATGTGCTTACAGAGCTGGTCTCCACAAGAAGAAATGCCATAAGGCAGTGGAGGGGCTATGGTACTGCATCTAGACTGTTAATTTGGTGTCATGGAGAAGCCAACTCCGTTATCTGTTGCGTATACAAAACAGTTACCTGCTGGGATTGGAGATGCAGAATTAGATTTAAAAATAAATAAAACAACAAAATAGGAGGGCACACCTCTGACGATTAGTATTACCAAGGGTATAGCCCCAGGGACTTCGGGGATGAGACTAAGAATTAGGGGTGTTCTTGGAAATCCTGGAGATGTACTCCTCATTGGGAAACCACACCAAAACTTTGTGCTGTTACAGTCCATCCCAGGTCAGCTCTGTTCAGAGGCCCTTTTAGCCTTTTTTATTCTCTTTATGTTCAGCTATGAGGGCTGAATTCATAGTTTCTAGCATTGTTTGTGTGTGTTTAAGGCAAAATTCGAGAGAGCACATGGAAGTACAAGTATTTTTTCCTTACTTATTTTATAGTTAATTAAATACAAGGAGGGAGAAAGGGAGATCAGCATGGGAGGATTTCCTCAGGAGATCTGCTCTCTCAACAAAAGTAAACCCGAGGGGTTTAGGCTGTGTCTGACTCCTTGTAAGAGAATGAGGATGCTCACTCAGTGTCTCAGCCTACCATCGGCAGAATATCAGTACCCAGCATGCTGGAAGCCCGGGAAAGTGGAGTCCCCATTCAGAATGACCTTTTTACTTCTTTTAAAGAGGTGTATAAATTTACAAAATGATAGGAGTGATATTAACATTCTTCTAACATTATTGAATCCTTTCATTCAATTTTTTTTTTTAATGATTTTACACGTCTCAGAAGAGGTGTGGTGTAGAGTCTCCTATAGTTTATCAGATGTGCTGACTCTGGAGGAAACAGAAAAGACAGTAAGAGACTAGAATGATGAGTTCTTGATTAGGAGTGTATTACCTCCTAAAAGGATGATGAAGAACAAATTTGTCCACTGACTTAAGAAGGCTTTGAAGTGAATATGGAGAGGAAGGGAAAAGAATGCTCAGATAAACTCATGGACCTCACTAGTACGAAGTATGATAAAGAATTTAGGAAAGAATGTCTGGCAGGTAGTAGATACTCAGTATTGATTGAGTGAGTAAATGAATGAGTGAGTGAGTAGTGAATGAACATGCCTGAGGGTCCTGGAGAATCACTTAGTAAATGCAGATTCTGGTGCTCATGTAGCTGTATATCCAACACCCTGTTAAGAATAATCAAACCTCAATGAAATTGAAATACAAGGTTTATTCTGAGCAGTTATTCTAGATGCACATAGGGAGACCATTCTGATTAAGGAAAAAAAAAAAAAAAAGCAAATGGCTTGAAGTAGCCTAGGTACGGTGAGGTTTATAAAGAGAAGAGGAGGGAGAAGAATAGAAGATTAACCATTGGCTAATCTTAACGTGATTGATTCAACCCTGCCCTGCCCCTTTTACTGAAATCAGCTGATATCAGATTGCTAGGTGGTCTCTGGCCTGGCAGCTAAAAATTTGTCCCTCCAACCCATCTGCAGCCATGGAGGCTTTTGAAATTTAAATTAAGTAAGCCTAGAGTCTTTTTTATTAACTCAGTAGGTAATGGTTTTGCTATCGACTGCTCTTCCAACAGGAAAGAAAATTCTTTTTTCACTTTGCGTGGAAAAAAGCAGGCCAGTGATGCTACAGGCAGAATTAAATTTGGGTCAGGAGGTTTTAGGTCCCTGGATAAGAAAATCCTCTTGAAATAAAGTAAACTATCTATTTTTAATAATAAAATTTATTCTACAACCCATAGTATGGATGCTGATGATGGGCAGGAAATTGAAAAAAGAAAGTTTAATCAAAAAGCGAATTAGCTAGTGGTATATTTTTTCCGGATTAAGTATAGTAGAATAACTCACCTCTGTCCTAAGGTAAAATCACCACAAAGTTATAGGACAGCAAGAAGAAAGACTTTATTCAGCATGTGTTCCAAGAGGCAGCAGTGGGGAATGGACAAACATGCTGCCAGAGCCATGTCTGAGCAATGTTAGAATCATCAGCTTATACTGACATTACAAATGAGTAAAATCATCAAAAGGTTCACCTTTTCACAGATTGGCTAAAAGCTAGCTATCAAATCACCGTGATTCTGCAGTTTGAATTGTCTTAATAATCACTGGTACAAGTTTCAGTAACAAATCATTGGTCTAACAAGTCCTAGCTATTTTCTAAATGCTGATAGAAAAAGATAAAAGTGGAAAATATGTGGGTCTTTTGTGCTCTTTCTAAATACTTGTTTGTGTGAAAGCTTTCCTAAAAGATGTTTTCCAAGATTGTCCTAGCTGGTTTTTTATACCTCAGGGCCCAGTTGATATGTCCTTGTGACCCCAGCTCCAGCAGGGTCACATTCTTTATATTCAAGGACAGGGAATAATGGTTCTGATTTTAACTCCTAAGTCACCTCCTATTTGGATTTTGATGGTGGTCAATTAAAAGACAGAAGATAGGGGTGGGAGAGAGGGCATGTTAGCTAAAGAGGGATTAAACTTATTTTGTGTGATTCCCGAGAGTAGGAAGAAAGAAAACATCCATCTGTTCAGCCAAAATAGCCAAATAAATCTTCACTCTCAGTTGCAAGCAGATAACCTCTTGCATTCTAGAGTAAACACTGAAGCCATAAGTATGGGTGAGATTGTCTAGGAAAAGAGTGGAGAAAAGACCAAGAACAAGGCCTTGGGTGTATACTTTACTATAAAGTGATTGTAAATTAACTATGTAGTTAACTATGTTTGTAAATTAATATGACAGTTTTCATTCTAAAATGTATAATATTTATTTTTGTTTGCCTTTCATAGGAGTGGTTCTAATCAAAGCCCAGATTTTAGAGCTGGTGTTTCCTATTACAGCAGTCCAGAAGAAGCAGATAACCCTAAATGTTCATAGTTCTCTGAAGAGTATTTTCTCTTCTCTTCCCAACATTATATATACTGGCTGTGCAAAATGTGGATTGGAACTGGAAACTGATGAAAACAAGATCTACAAACAGTGTTTCAGCTGCTTGCCATTTGCTGTGAAGAAAATGTACTATAGGTAAGACAAGCAAGCCAATTGGATGGAAAATATTTATCGTCATAGGATTGCAAATGACCAAAAAAATCACATGTTCCAACTCTTAATTTCTTACCAGAACTAACTGGAGCTAATCCAAAAAACAAACCAAACTTACTGCCATCGAGTCGATGCCAGCTCATATAGGACAGAGTAGAACTGCCCCATAGGGTTTCTAAGGCTGTAAATCTTTACGGAAGCAGACTGCCATCTCTTACTCTCTTGGAGCAGCTGGTGGATTCGAAGCCCGGATGTTTTGGTTGGTTAGCAGCTGAGTGCTTTAACCACTGCACCACTAGGGCTTTTATGGAACTAATCCAAGAGAGTAAATTTTTTCTTTTCAGTGACAAATAGCAAAAATTGCTCAGTGATCATAATAGTAATTTTTTTAAAGCAGCAATTGGGAGATTTTATTGTTTGCAGGCAGCTGTAGTATAGAAAAATAATGTGTACATTTTTAACGAAGATCTAAATGGTTCATAAGAAACTCGTTTCCCCACCTTAATATATAATTAGAATCTAAAGGTTAAAATTGTTATATGATCTCACCTTTGAGTTGTGGAAGCTAGTAAGATGTTAAACGTCTCTGTGCCTCAGTTTTCCTGTCTTCACATTAGAAATTAAGGATACCAAATGTTCTTTGATAAAATTGCTAGCCAACTCAATGAAAAACACATTGCTTTTCAAATAATAAATGTTCAAAGTATAGGATAATCATTTTCTTTTTACCTTACAAATCAAATGCCTTTAGAAAATAGCACTCAGTGTTCACTGTTCTTTTCTGTTATTTCTAAATACTGCAGTATCTAAAAACTAAATACAAATATATTTATATTATCATTGCATACTTAAATAAAGTTTACGGAAGCTTATTCCACAAGCCTCATTTCCTTTCACAGATATTTTATGTTGTTTATAAATAAGTAAATTAATTTTATTATTATTTTAAAAGTTGCTTTTATGGAAAAGAAGATGGAATTAAGTTGCATGGCATATAACAAATATAATTAATGAAAATTTTTTATCAACAGTTAAGACTCCTTACAGAGTATATTGAGTAAAACCTGCAAAAGGCGGAAACCTGTCAGAGAAGGAAAACTCAGATATTTCCCACTAATGGAGAATGATAGAAAGCTGGTTAGACTGCATTCTGTCAAAGGCAGAAAACTTGCCAGACCTGGAAAAACAAGGAAGTCCCATCGAGTTCCAGCTGTCACAGCTTTCACTCTTTATTTTTAGATGACATATTTTATCATTCCGAATGTTCTTGTTCAGTATCATGATTTATGGGACAGAAATGTTGCCCAGTGAATACCCCTTCTGGAGAGGAGAGCCTTTGTATCTTCAATGTAAGGAATGAGTGTTCAAGAGAAGGACTTCAGAGATCAATATCACCTCATTATGGTGTAACCTAGTATGAGGAATATAAGGTATAGTCCTAAGCTATACCACATTAAAGATGTAGTGCTAGTTTGTTGTCTTGCTAGCATGTTGAATTGATATGCTAAGAGCTGGTTTTGTTTGGTTGCTTTAAGTTTAATGTCCAGATTATTTGGCTTCCTTAAAAAGAAAATTTTAAGACTTAAATAACAGAGTCCTTTCAAGTTATCGAGTATGTGAATCAAAAATCATCTACATAAATTAGTCAGCAAACTGAATAAGAGAAAGTTCTGATTGGTTATTTTTCCAAGACTCAATCAATCAAATATTTATTAGGTACCCACAAATCTTCACCTGCTATTTAATGCAGTGGAGGGTATATTGATATATAATTAATCCAGATGAACCATGTAGGTAACATAATTCTAAAGCTATTATAGAACCTGAGCACCATCTTTAACAGTGTTTTAACAGGGTATATATATTCTGTGGAATTACATTTTTTGAAAGTCAAGAAAGACATTGTTTTTTCTGTACTAGGAGCATAGAAACCAACAGGTCAAACTCCTATAAAGGCAGCACTAAGGGAAGCTTGGAGCTCTCACAAGGTTGTAGTCAAGGTATACTCTGGGGTTGTAGTCATCTGGTTGGAGGGTCCATTTCCAGGGTGGCCCAGTCACATGGCTGACAAGTGGTGCTGTTTGTCAGCAGGAGACCTGAGTCGGCAGGTCTGTCAGTCTTTCTGAAACGAAAATGGGAAGTCAGTAACTCCCAGTCTAGAATCACTTGGGCCTACTCCAAGCCACTGTTACTTGCTGCTGAAACTATTGCAGTAGTAGTCTCTTAGTTGGTCTCCTTCTACCTTTGCCTTCTCTAGTCCGTTCTCTACACAGCTAACAGAATGGTCACTCCTGGCATAAAAACAATTCAATAGTTTCCAGTTACACCTGCTGTCTCTGCAGTCTCATCTGCTGCTTTCTCATCTGCTGCTCACTGTGCCCCAGCTGTACTGGCCTTTGTTCTGTTCTTCAAGACTCCTTTTTTTTTTTTTTTTTCCTCCTCCTCAAGGCTTTGTCACATGCTCTTCCACTGCCTGACTACACAAGTCTGGCTTCTTCATGTCTTAGTTTAAATACCACTCATCCCTTCCCTAATCACCTCCTTTATTTTCTTTCATTATACCCTGTTTGTTTCCTCTGTGTGTACTTACTGCAATTTGTAGTTATTCAGTTGCTTATTGTCTTTTCTTAAGTAAATCTTTCTTGAGATAGAATTAATATACCATAAAATTCAGCCATTTAAAATGTACAATTCAGTGGTTTTAGTATATTCAGAATTGTGCAGCCATCATCACAATCTAATTTTAGAACATTTTCATCCCCCTCAAAAGAAACCTGTACCCATTAGCAATCATTCCCCATTCCCCATCCCCACCCCCAGCTCTGCAGCCGCTGGCAACCACTAATCTACTTACTGCCTCTATAGACTTGCCTGTTCTGGACATTTCATCTAAATGGAATCATGTAGTATGTGGCTGTTTGCATCTGGTTTTTTTCACTTAGCATAATGTTTTTAGGGTTCATCTGTGTTGTAGCATGTATCAGTACTTCATTTCTTCTTACTGCTCAATAGTATTCCATCGTATGGGTATATCACATTTTATTTATTCATCAATTGATGGACATTTGGGTTGTTTCCATTTTTTAGCTATTTTAAATAATGCTGCTGTGAACATGTACGTGTTTTCATTTTTCTTGGATGTGTATCTAGGAGAGGAATTGCTAGTCATATGTAACTCTATGTGTAACCTTTTAAGGTACTGCCAGACATTTTCCAAAGTGGCTGCACTACTTTAGATTTTCACCAGAAGTATATGAGGGCTCTTAATTTCTCCATATCCTCACTAACGCTTGTTATTATCTGACTTTTCTATTATAGCCATCCTAGTAGGTGTGAAGTAGTATCTCATTGTGGTATTGATTTACATTTCCCTTTGCCCATTTTTTAATTTGGTTATTATTATTTTTCATTTGTAAGAATTTTTTTGTTTTTGTATATTCTGGATACAAATGGAGCCCTGGTGGTGCAGTAGTTAAGAGCTCAGCTGCTAACCAAAAGGTTGACAGTTCAAATACACTAGCTGCTCCTTGGAAACCCTATGGGGCAGGTATGCTCTGTCCTGTATGGTTGCTATGAGTCGGAATCAACTCAAGGGCAACAGGTTTGGTTTTTTGTTTGGATACGAATGTTTTCTCCCCTTCTGTGGGTTGTCTTTTCACCCTCTTTATAGTATCATTTGCAGCACAAACATTTTTAATTTTGATGTAGTTTAGTTCATCTATTTTTCCTTTTGTCTCTTGTGGTTTTGGTGTCATATCTAAGAAACCATTGCCTAAGCCAAGATCATGGAGATTTGCTCCTATATTTTCTTCTAAGTTTTAGCTCTTACATTTAGGTCCATGATCTGTTTTGAGTTACTTTTTGTATGTGGTCTGAGGTATAGGTCTAGTGTCATTTTTTGCTTGTGGAGATCCAGTTGTCCCAGCACCATTTGTTGAAAGGACTCTTTTTCTTCCGTTAAATTGTGTTGGCGTCTTTGTTGAAAAGCTTATTATCTTTCTATCACACTAAACTCTTAATTTCATTGAGAGAAGGAACCAGATCTTACTTGTTCACAAGTGCATATCCTGTGCTTAGCACAGTGTGTGGTAAATAATACTTGTTGAAAGAAGGAGAACAATAGCCTTGAGAAACAGCATACAGTGAAAAGAGAAAAGGACCTAGAATCATCAGGTTAGTAAGAGGGGGATGTAGGTGTTTAGGGGGAAAATCAGTAGTCATGTTTTAGCCCTGTTACACTAAATTTCCCTGCATCTTTTTCTGAATTTTGTTCTCAAACGATTTACTTTTTAAAAAGTTAATGTAGGTAATACATATCCATGGTAAAAATGCAAACAGTAAAGGAAGGTATAAAATAAAAAGTAAAAGTCTTCTTTCTCATCCACTCCATCTTTAATGCTGTTTCTGTGATTGGTAGACATTTTTTGTATAGCCTTCCAGTAATTTTATTAGGCTCAAACTAGCAGGTGTATATCCCTTTCTTTAAAAAGTACATAGATAGAACTCTTAACAAGTCAGCAACGAATACAAACAACCCAATTAAAAAATGGCTAAAGGACTTGAATAGATATTTTGCCAAAGAAGATATATACATGGCCAATAAGCATGTGAAAAGATGCTCATAATTAGTAATTAGAGAGATGCAAATCAAAGGCACAATGAGATACACTTTACTCACACTGGAATGGCTTAATAGGAGTCCTGGTAGCACAGTGGTTAAGTGCTCAGCTGCTAACTGAAAGGTCAGCAGCTTAACCCACTAGCCACTCCACAAGAGAAAGATGTGGCAGTCTGCTTCAGTAAAGATTATAGCCTTGGAAACCTATGAGGGCAGTTCTACTCTGTCCCATAGGGTTGCTGTGAGTCGGAATTTACTCAACGGCACACAACAACAGGATGGCTGTTATAAAAATAATGGAAAATAACAAGCATTGGCAAGGATGTGAAGAAAGTGGAACCATCATTCACTGCTGGTAGGAGTGTAAAATGGTGCAGCTGCTGTTGAAAACAGTTTGACAATTCCTTAAAAACTTAAAAATAGTATAACCATATGAGCTGGCAATTCCAATCCTAGGTATATACTCAAAAGTCTTGAAAGAAGGGACTCAAACAGATACTTGTACACCAGTGTTCATTGCAGCATTATTCACAATAGCCAAAAGGTAGAAACAACTCAAATGTCCATCAGTTGATGACCAGATAATACAATGTAGTATATACATACAATGAAATATTATTCAGTCTTAAAGAGAAATGAAGTTCTGATACATGCTGTGACATGGATGAACCTTGAAAAATTTATGCTAAGTAAAATAAGCCAGATACAAAAGGATGAGTATTGTATGACCCCAATTATATGAAATATCTAGAACAGGCAAATGCATAGAGACAAAAGTGGATTAGTGGTTAGCGGGGCTAGGGGGAGGGAGGAATGGGGAGTTACTGCTTAATGGGTATTGAGTTTCTGTTTGGGGTGTTGAAGAAGTTTTGAAAATAGATAGCAGTGATGGTTGCATAACACTGCGAGTGTAATTAATGTCACTGAATTATACACTAAAAAATGATTTAAATAGTGAATTTTATGTTACATATATTTTACCACAATAAAACTTTTAAAATAAGTACATAGAATATTATTCATAATATTTTGCTCATATTGTTTGTTTCTTAGAATATATCTTTGGGTTCTGTAAGTCCTTTCCCTAATATAACTTATAAATTTACCTCATTTTTTTAACAGCTACTTTGTATTCCATTGTATGATGTACCAAAATTTATCTAGTCCTCTAGTATTGATATGCAAAATGATTTATTTCTAATACAAAAGAACCCAGTGGGAAAAAATAGCTTGAAATTGTGATTGTGAAATTGTGATTATCACCTTTATTTCTATTTTTTATATAAATAATAATTTACATAACAATATAAAATAATATCTCCAAGTGTTGGAGAGTAGAAATGAGTCCAGAAACAAGGGAAAGGAAGAATGAGGTCAGCACAGAAGCTGGAAGATTCTAGCCACTGGCATCTGGAGGACTCATCTCTTTCTGGTCATTCTGAAATGGGGATACACAACACCCTGAACAAAGAACATAACAGGAGCTAAACTGAGGAAGGTGGCACAGATTAGCTGTGGGGGTTCATGGGCCATGCACTTGGGAGGGAGCGCAGGGAGGCCAAGGCACTGTGAGAGCTATTGAGTCTCACTGAGACCCAAGGCCAGTGGTCTCTAGGACCCAGATAACTGAAGAGCTGCAGGGCCCATCCTTCAGCCAGGGCAAGAAAAATGCATCAAACAGGGAACATGGACGGAAACAACTGACTCCTTGCCTGCAGCTGGACACTGTGGAAGAGCTTGTACAGGGTCGCCCACGAGGGAAGGACCTAAAGTGCTCCCCACCCTCATCTTGGGAAAGCCAAGCCCCACCACTTCCATCTGCATCTGTGGCCAGCAGAAAAGTCCCACACATATGCAAGTAGCTGCAGAGGGAAAGCCCTGTCCCAATTCTACATAGGGAAGGGAAGGAACCCAGCCCCAGGAGTGTAGTCTAGGCTACAGCCAAACCCCCAGAAGACAGAGGAACACTAACAGCAGCAAAGTCAGCCACCTCAGAGAGAACCAGTCAGAATGAGTACTCTGAGACTTAAAACTACTCAAAATGCCTGAAAGCTGTGGCAAGAGACTAAAAACCAAGAATAACAAAAACAAAGCCTCAGACGGAACTCCTGATTCAGTGCTGCAAAAAATGTAAGGACAAGAGTTCTTGCTAGTGGAATTTAAGAGAAGATAGTAGAGGTAAATCTGAGAAATACGATTCACTTGAAAATCAGAAAACTTAGAATTTCAGAATATCAAAAAAGATATCAAAACATCCCACATTCAACAAAAATATCAAAACACACAAAATCACAAGATAAGGACCAAACAAAAGAAATACATGAAGAGGAAATTTCTCCTATGGAGACAAGGATAATGGAAAAAATAGAAAACATCCAGACAGTAGTGTTAAATACATTTAAAGAAGGCAAACTAACAGAGATCAGGAAGCAACTTGAAGAACAAAATGAGAAAATAAGAAAATTGAAAACATTAAAAAAAGAATTACTGGAACTGAAGAATAAAATAACTGAATTAGAAAGTACAATAAAAACATTCTAGAGTCAGACAGAAGATAGAATAAGTGAAGTAGAAGACAGAGTAACTGAATGTATTAAGTCTCTGGAAAAGAACAAAGAGAAGCAAACAAATCCAAAGGGAAATGTGGGATTCAATTAAGAAGTCCAACATGAGAATTATTGACATGCCAGAGTACCATGGTAATGATGAAGGTAGATGTCTTAGTCATCTAGTGCTGCTCCAATAGAAATACCAAAGTGGATGGTTGTAACAAGGAGAAGTTTATTCTCTCACAGTCCAGTAGGCTACAAGTCCAAACTCAGGGCATCACCTCCAGAAGAAGGCTCTCTCTTTCTGTCGGCTCTGGAGGAAGGTCCTTGTGATGCATCAGTCTTTCCTTGGTCTGGGAGCATCTCAGCACAGGAACCTCAGGTCCAAAGGATGCACTCTGCTTCTGGCACTGCTTTCTTGGTGGTATGAGGTTCCCATGTGTCTCTGCTTTGGTTCTCTCTTTTATATCTCAAAAGAGATTGCATTAAGACACTGATCTTGTCAACCTCATCAATATAACCTCATCACAGTGATAGAATTTACAGCACATGAGGAGAGCACATATAATCTCATCCTAGTGGTAGAGTT